CGCGATATACGACATACGATATATAGATATATAGATATATACATAAATATATATCCATACCGAAACATCCACAAACAGACTAGATGTACCCTCGCACATTCGGAACGGGGCTTCGAACTGAGCTCGGTAAAACGGGGCAAGGTTGGGGCATTATCGCATCACATGCATATGACATCAGCGCAACACTGCGTATACGTAATCTGGCGATAGCGCTGATTGAATGAATTGGATTGAAAACGACTGTCAAGCTCCACTAACCGGTGATTTACCATCTTTTTTTTTTATTCTCGCGACAGGTAAACAAAAAATCTACTGTGCGAAATGCACGAAAAAATGCTCTGGCGAGGTGCTCCGCGTGGCGGACAACCACTTCCACAAGGCCTGCTTCCAGTGCTGCCAGTGCAAGAAGTCTCTGGCCACCGGTGGATTCTTCACAAAGGACAACGCCTACTATTGCATACCGGACTACCAGCGGCTGTATGGCACCAAGTGCGCCAATTGCCAGCAGTACGTGGAAGGTGAGGTGGTAAGCACCATGGGCAAGACGTATCACCAGAAGTGCTTCACCTGCTCCAAGTGCAAGCAGCCCTTTAAGTCGGGCAGCAAGGTGAGTTGAGGATTGACAAGATTTAGTAATCAATAACTAACAACCATTGCTTCCTCACAGGTTACGAATACCGGAAAGGAGGTGCTTTGCGAGCAGTGCGTCTCGGGGGCTCCGGTATCCCCCAGTCGCCAGGCAGTTGGAGGAGGCGTCTCATCGCCAGCTCCCCCGGCGGAGAGTCCTACGAGGGCCACTGCCCATCAGCAGCACGGCGGGGTTATTTCGCACAAGGCGCATCTGAAGGAGGACTACGATCCCAACGACTGTGCTGGGTGTGGGGAGCTGCTTAAGGAGGGCCAGGCCCTAGTGGCGCTAGACAGGCAGTGGCACGTCTCTTGCTTCCGGTGCAAAGCTTGCCAGGCGGTGCTTAACGGGGAGTACATGGGCAAGGACGCAGTACCCTACTGCGAGAAGTGCTACCAGAAGGGATTCGGGGTGAAGTGCGCCTACTGTAGCCGCTTTATTAGCGGCAAGGTGCTCCAGGCTGGCGACAACCATCACTTCCATCCGACCTGTGCCCGTTGCACCAAGTGCGGCGATCCCTTTGGCGACGGTGAGGAGATGTACCTGCAGGGTAGTGCCATCTGGCATCCACGATGCGGTCCCGGTCCCTCCGAGTCTGGTATTATCCTGAACGGAGGCGGAGGCAGTACCTCGGTGGCCGGAGGTGCCTCTAACGGCAATTTCACAGATACAGAATGCGATAGGATGAGCTCCAGTGCCCTTAGCGAGATGGTAGGTAGTCGGATCTCCAGGAGGCGATGACGATAACGAAAACTTCACGAGAATCAAACACGATCTCGAATTTAAAGAGGCTGCTGAGCTTGCAACTAATTTGAATGCTGCAAAATTCACGAAAAGCACACACAAACTCATTTCATAATAGGATGGTAGATATTTCTTGACCATTAGCTTATCCAAAGGCTAGGTAAAGGTCTAAAAATATCACCCGTCTGAATCACCTCCCTGCACCTATAAACACACACCTACAACACATGCAATTTATGATTTTATATTTTCAGTTGTTTGCATTTTAGTTGTTTTGAGCTTGCGTTTTTATTTTCCGTTCGTTTTCAGTACATCCGCTCCAGAACTCCGAGTTTTAATGGTTCACTTTATTCCTCTAGCCGCAAGGTTTGTTTAATGATTTACTTTATGATTTCCCTTCATTTTCTGCCATCGTTTTGAAAATACTAAGACTCCAAAGAAAAACACACGGCACTGCATGTAAAACCATTGACAAGCAAATTAACTAACTAACCAGGAAATATTTCTTACAGCACTATCGGACGGTCAGTCCGGGTCTGATACTCCGAGAATACGGGCGACCAAATGCCGAGGATATTTCGCGCATCTACACCTACAGCTATCTTACGGATGCGCCACACTATCTGAGGAAGCCGATCGATCCGTATGATAAGACCCCGCTGTCGCCGCACTTCCACCGGCCCTCCTCCTACGCCACCACGGCCAGTAATGCAGGATCCGTTGCCGGAAGCCGTCCACCGTCGCGTCCCCATTCAAGGACTCGTAGCGCAATGAAGGTCCTGGTGGATGCCATCCGCTCGGAGACGCCCCGGCCCAAAAGTCCCGGCATGAACAACGAGGAGCCCATTGAGCTGTCTCACTACCCGGCTGCCAAGAAGCCTCCACCAGGCGAACAGCCCAAGATCGAGCGAGACGACTTCCCTGCGCCGCCGTATCCCTACACGGATCCGGAGCGTCGTCGACGGTACAGTGATACCTACAAGGGAGTGCCTCCATCGGACGACGAGGATGAGAATGTGGAAAATGGCAAGCAGAATGGCAAGGCCAAGAATGGCGAGGAGCAGCAGTAAGTGTGGAACTGATGTAAAAATATTCAAACTCTATCAAATATTCCATAAATTAGACGCCTTCAACGGGAGGCCGAGCAGCTGGAGAAGCTTAACTCGGGCATCGGATCAGCGATTGCCAAGGACCTTAAGGAGCACGCCAAGTACAGGAAGTGGAAGCAGAACAACCTGGATCCGCGCAACGCCTCCAGGACGCCTTCTGCTTCCAAGGAGCCATTGTACAAACTGAGGTGAGCTATTCTAACTTGATAATTTCACTCAAGAAGCAATGTCAAATATGGATATATATATTTCATATTCAATGTACTAATTCTTAACTATCTATGCATTGCAGATATGAATCGCCCATTGGGGCCTCGCCTTCACGCAATCTGGACCACCAGAAGCCTTTTTACGAGGACGAGATGTTCGATCGATCCACAAGCTATCGTGGCTCGCTTGGCAAATCTCTGGGAAACGCGCCCAGTTACAATGGTAATCTCCTAGCCAGTATAGTCTAAGTCTCGATTTTCAGCGAATCCAGCGTTTCCTTACCGATATTATAAATAGCCCAATTACGTTTATAGCCATACATTCCTACCGATCGCCGCCTAAGCCCGGATACGGATTCAAAACGACGACTCTGCCCTATATACGCAACGGCTACAGCTCCGTAAGTGCTGCCTGTTGCTTTCGATCGTTTAGATCAGTTCCTCGGTGCCGGGCTGTCGGTTATGTCTTGTAGCTTACCCACTACCACTCGATCCTATATGTAATACCAAAATAGTTATAACCTGGTTTGTTGCTGACGGTATTTGTTTGTCTTTCTCTCACTCTTTAATGCTGCCACTGGTTGCTCACTTGGATGAACTAACAACTGTTTCGCAAATGTCTCAACTGGTTGGTCTGCTGCTTCATTGTGTGTCTTAATCCCAACCCTACCCTATGCTACAACCCAAAAACCAATCTATGTGTATGCTATTGTTGCCCTGACACCTTCCAAAAAAAAAAAAATGAAAAATAAATACCCACAAACTAACACCCATCCACACTAACCCAAAACTCAAACTCGAACATTTGCATCATGAACATCAACATCACTTGTACACCATCTACATCTACTCTGCTCAGTGGTGAGTGCGCTGCGCCATGTGCCCAAACCAGGATACGGCCTAGCACCACGCTCCCACACATTCAGCTCCACCACATCCGCTGCGGCCACGATGCATGGTGCCACTGTAAGACCGCTTTTGTTGTTGTTATGCTGTAGAGTCCTTTGAATCCCTTCTTTCGTTTGGGTACCTGTTAGTACCGCCTGTAACTTAGCACTGGTTTTTGGTTTTTTATACTTTGCATGTACATCACATTTCTGGTGATCAGGAACTAATCTTTTATCCTTTCTTAATTAGGATTTCTCTTATGGAGGACTGGGCGACAAAACCCACAGCACAGATTTGAGCTGCGGCAAATCGGAGGGTAAGATAATAAAATCCCTTTCTAGCCTAGATATCATGCTAATAAGATACCTTTGCAGCATCTGTGGACTCGATCACCGAGGGAGATAGACGTGCTCTGATGGGTGGCGATCTGCCCGCCTCGAGCACTTACTCAGGAGCTCTCTCATACCACTATCCGCAGGCCGGGCTCATCCGGCGCAGTCTACCCAATATGGCCCATTCGATGCTGGTGCACGAGCCGGCCAAGATCTATCCTTATCACCTACTGCTAATCACAAACTATCGTCTGCCCTCGGACGTAGATCGCTGTAATTTAGAGGTAAGATTTGGGAGAGTTTAGGTATAATTATAAAAGAAACTAATTATTTTAATTTTTTTTATATCAGCGTCATCTGTCGGACATCGAGTTCGAGCACATCTTGCAGTGCGCCAGGTCGGAGTTCTACAGGCTTCCCCAGTGGCGACGTAACGAGCTGAAGCGGCGGGTGAAGCTCTTCTAAGGGCTCCTAATACCGCCAAGGATCCAAGGATAGCTGCCCGAGTGGAGGCTGTTTGCGACGAAACCAAAAGAATTCAATTTACCTTAACAGCAAATGGTTATTACACATGTGGAGGAGATGAAAAACAATATAAATTGAAAACGAAACGGGAAACTATGCTAATTTCACAGCCAGTTTTGAAACACGCTTTAAATAGTTGATGCAAGTGAAACCAACTAAACTAAATTTAAATACATAGTTACATTTACAGTGCGGAGTAGCTAGCGGGCCGCTCCTGTTTATTTTTTTAAGAATTAGTTGCGCTAACGCAAAATTGTAACTGAAAACTATATGAAAGGAACAGAAAATCCCAATAAAAACGAAGTGTATACAGATTTAAATTAGTTAAACATTGCATGTACGGCATGAACGCTTTTTATACGCAGTGCAAAAATTATATTAAACGCAAACATAAACTGGACTCTTTTTCTAAATTACACTTTAATTGAATCATGTTACGGACTAAAGTACCGAGAAATACATCAAAGAATGAGAAATTAATGTACCTACAGCAGAATCACACAGCAAAAAGCGAAACGTCAGATGTGTGGCATCAAATTTACGCTAAATCATTATGCAAATTTTATTTATTACTAAATATTTTATTTATTTATTTAAATAGAATATGTCAAAGAATAAACCAGAGATAATAAAACAGGACAAAAGCAATGTCGAAGTGTTTACAATTATTCGAACTTTTCGAGAGTGGCGATTATAAATTAGCTTTATTCTAGATGGTATTTCTTTTCTTCGGCGAAACGTCAAATCTAAAGAACATTGGGCATTTCTATGGAATGTTATCTTAAATATAAGCATTACCTTGCAAAATTATGGCTAAATTCACTTTAAACTTTGTCGTATCGCCCAAGATCTACCATATAGGGCTTAATTCGGTGTGATTTGAGTTCGGGACGCAATAAGTGACTGGAATGTAAAGTTCACAGAATAAATACGTAAATATTAAACTAGATTACACAAAACATCGAGATTATCTATATTGCACCGTGGATATTGCACTAGTTCTGCTTATGCATTGCCTCGTCATTACGCAAACCGTAAGTTAGCTGCGTCTTCATCACTGCCAAACTGCTGCCTATGATTTTTTTGTGGTAGATCTGCCGTGTAACGAAACCAAAATCATCATAGAAGTCGCGCTCACTTTCCTGCCACTCGGAGATGGTACACTCCAGCGAAGCGTAGCCACCGCCTATGCAGTTCTTGACCACTAACTTCACCATTGGCTCCATGATAGTCTGGCAGGGATAGTTGGGATCGATGGCAAAACGGTAGATCCAAGCTGCATTGTACACGGCATGATGATTCTTCACACTAATTGCGGCCACAATCCGACGACGAAATTTTCGTATATAAACCTCATCATACGGACAGTTATCGATGAAAATCTGGTAGCTAGCTTCTTTGGGAGAGCAGCGAAAAATGAAGGGTTCATAACACTCGGCCACCAAGGATTGCGATGGTTTGGTCTAGAAAGTGGGTAAAGATATTTAGAAATCCTATTTTAAAAATGTTTTACCACTCACCCTCATCAGCTCCACAGCCTTGGAATAAAATGAGAAATATGTGCCGGTGAAAAGGCAGAAGATGCAAGCGGGCACAGTAAGGGCGCAGAAAAGAAGGGGCACTCCCAGAAATATGAAGAATATGGCCCAGGTGATAACTATAAACTGCAGGGTGATCTGTAAAAGAAATAAAAAGTATATAACATCTAACTAGGTGACAAATACCACTGATCGCATGAAGATAAGTCACGCATCCTCACCTCTCGAAAGCAATAGACAAAAAAGGACTTGTTGGAGAACGACATAATGTAGTCCCGCACCAGCTCCTGGCACTTGAGCTCGTCATCTTGCGTATAGTTGCGTATAACAATAAATGGCTGCATTAAAGTATTATTAAACTATTGGATTAGGCAAACAAAATAAAAATAAAAACACTGCCCAATCAGTGTGCCCAAAGCGATGTAAAATACCACCAAATCTTAGGCGGCACAGCTGTAAAAATGGCGTTGCCACTGTAAAAAATATCGAATAGGAAATGATAAAGCTGAAAACGCGAGGTTATTTTTTTGTTATATTTATGATACTAAGGGATTCTAATGAATTAATAATTGTATGTGGTTGGATAATTGTAGATCTCTTAACATTTTGTTATTAAATATATTCACACACATAAAAGATCGTTTACTGTTTTTGAGAATTGTCGTGACCCTGCCCTGTCACGACCCCATCTCTTATGCCAAACACTTTGACTTCGATCTGGCACTTTTTCTCATGACGTGTCGGCGAGCTTAACTTTATTAAACAACTACTCGAAAAAGTCATTGGAAATAGCTGAAAATGCGCGACCAATTCATCAGCCTGGCCATGCTGCTGTGCGTCCTGCATAGCGCCTGCGGATTGTACTTCCACATATCGGAGACGGAGCGCAAGTGCTTCATCGAGGAGGTTCCGGATGAGACGACTGTGATTGGTGAGCCACAGCTAAGTGCCAACTTGGAAGTTTTATAAATGAGTTGTTCTTCTTCTCCTGTAGTTAACTACAAGGTGGAGCTGTACGATCCGCGCTCCAATGGATTCATGCCCTCATCCCCCGGCATTGGAATGCATGTGGAGGTTCGCGACAGCGATGACAAGATTGTTCTGTCCCGCGTGTACAGTTCCCAGGGACGCATCTCATTCACCTCGCACACACCTGGCGAACACGTCATCTGTATGTACTCCAACAGCACAGCCTGGTTTAGTGGAGCCCAATTGCGCGTCCACCTTGACATCCAGGTGGGTGAGCACGCCATCGACTATGCCAATGTGGCGCAAAAAGAGAAGCTTACCGAACTGCAGCTGCGAATCCGCCAGCTACTTGACCAGGTCGATCAGATCACCAAGGAGCAGAACTACCAGCGCTACCGCGAGGAACGATTCCGCCACACCAGCGAGAGCACAAACTCCCGCGTGCTTTGGTGGTCGCTGGCCCAGACTGTCGTCTTGGTCTGCATGGGTTTCTGGCAGATGCGACATCTGAAGAGCTTCTTCGAGGCCAAGAAACTTGTGTGAGGTGCTTCAAGGCTAGGGCATCATCAGCACTACTCGCCACCAGCCTCATTGTTCCGTGTGTTTTCCCTCATTTGGCAGGAATTTGCGAATTTCACCGATGGATCACCATCAACCAACCATCCGCAGGCCTCGACTCCAAGCACGTCTAGTTATAATTTCTTGTGCGTAATTTAATAAAATCCATTGTACAAAATGAGACTAATCTGTGCACCCCCACATTCTATCTCGTTGGGGCAGACAACCAGTCAGCTGAGCCTGGTCCCGTGACTGGGTTTGCCTCGTCGAGCGTGGTTTGGTCTTATCAGCGGCCTCTGGTAGATAACCTGTGGCGTTGGCGTTAACTCCCTAGTTTTAAACTCGCGCTGCATCGTAACCGCATCGGCTTGCACCGACTGCCCTTTATCTCATTGTTTGTTCTGACGGAGAGAAGTCTTTTAGTAGCTCTTGGACTGCCCTGAGCAGCGGTCGTCAATCGCGGCACAAATCCGTCGCCCAAACAAGAGAGTTCGTTGTGGCACACCAAACGCAACCATCGACGACCCACAAAAGCCGCAGCTCTGTAACCCGATCCAGTCCGAAGCGTTTTCAAGTCAACAACTGGTCCAGGTCTCTGCTCCCTATCCGGTTCAGTTCGTTCACGTTGGATTAGCCGTGCGGGCTGTTAAAAATGTTTCGCGCTACGGAAATCGGCAGCGAAGAAAGTGAGTTTGCAGGCAGATAAGATAAGACACTTCAGGTAATTCCCTGCCTCCCTTTTATTACATGTAGCCCTGCCAGCTCTGGCGGAGATTACGCAGGTGGGATACGAACAGGAGGCACGGGACATCGAGTGGGGAGGATGGAGAGGAGAACGGGTCCAGTTGAAGCGGCCTCACCGCAGCTCCCTACCCAATTATGGGTTTACTCCTCCGCCCATCCGCATGGAGTACAGATACCCCCGAGCCGTCTTCTTCGTTCTGGCCACAAAGTTTTTTGAGGCTTTTGCTGCCAACGGAATTCGCAGTAAGTTCGAGGGGCTGGATTTAGAAATGGGGCATGATTTAGCTGTTCGTACAATTATATGGCTTTGTCTCTTCGAAAAATTCCAAAAACCAGGCTTATCAGCGCTGCAGAAACACAAACAGGGAGGTCTTATTGACAGTCAAAAGACCTGTGGTGCATTAAATCAGGGGCACTGATAAGGTGCAAGAAATTTAGGTTGAATTCGGCAGAAGATTTTCATTATCAAGATATATTGTGTATTTTTTGAAAATTAAGAAAAATTTTCTTTCAAAATGGTAACCAATGTCGAAGTCTCGATGCGACGACCTTGATTTCATGGTCAATAAATCGAGATTGCCTTATTCTATATAATATTGGTTCGATTCCAGCTGTTCTCGCGCTCTATCTGCGCGATGATCTCAACTTCACCGAGAGCTTCTCCACGGTGGTGCTGCATATTTTTAATTTTTTCGGTCAGTTCTGTCCGATTATTGGAGCCATCCTAGCGGACAGCTACATAGGCAACGTTCGCACTATCTCAGGCTTCTGTTTCATCTACGCCTTTGGATGGTTGCTGCTTACACTGACATCCCTGCCCGCAATAGGCCTTTCGATGGTGTAAGTACTTATACACCAATGACTATGATGTTCGTTTAATTTAATACCAGAATTATTTCTTAGGCTGCTGGTGTCCATTGCTCTATTATTTATTGCCGTGGGTAATGGATCCATCCGCGCTTGCATCACATCGCTTGGGGCACTGCAGTTTAGGCTACCTGAACAGAGCGTCCATCTGGCCGAGTACTTTTCGTTCTACTATTTTGTCTATTATTTTGGAATCTTCTTAAGCAAGATCCTTCCACCGCTTGTAAGGGCCAATACACAGTGCTTTGATAAGACGGAATGCTACCCGGCTGTATTCGGCACCCTAGGAAGTGCTTTTCTGATGGCTTGGAGTAAGTATTTACCAGTTTCTATTTATAACATTGACTTATTTTATACACATGACATTAGTTATCTTTCTGGTTGGAAAATGCTTCTACAAATCTGAAAAGCTGTCCGATGACAATATACTCTTTAAGTTCTGTGGCTGCATTAAGACAGCTCTGGTGGAGAAGTGGAGACGTCGCAAGTCGCGAAAGCGCTCAACCTATTGGCTACACAATGCAGTTGGAGCCTATGACGAGGGCTTCGTTAATGATGTTTCTAAGGTTTTAAGGGTAAGTGGTCTCTTTAGAAGCCTATTTGGATTTTTCAAATTTTTTTTTTAGATCTCCAAACTTTTTATTCCGCTGCCCTTTTATTTTGCTCTGCTGGCGCAACAGGACTCTAGCTGGACCTTCCAGGCTACACAGATGAATACCACAGTATTGGGCGTTACCATCCAACCGGATCAGGCCAAAGCCGTTGGCCCGATCTTCCTATTTATGCTCATCCCGCTCTGGCAGTATGTAACTGTGCCTTTGCTGCGACGATATTTCAATTGGGAGCTGCAGCCGCTCCATAGTGTGACTGTTGGAGGAATTTTCTCTGCCGGCGCTTTTTTCTGTGCAGGAGCTGTACAAGAACATATAAATGTGAGTGAGAGTATTTAAAAAAGAACAAGATTGTTGATTAATCCGTCATGTAGAATTCTCCCCTTCAAACAGTGAATATAGCCTGGCAGCTTCCACAGTTCCTTTTACTCATGATGGGTGAACTTCTGCTTTCCATTCCGGGACTCCAGTTTGCCTTTACCCAAGCACCAACCTCTATGAAATCTGTGGTCACGGCTGCCTGGTTCTTAAACAATGCTTTTGGCAATCTCATTGTGGTTATGGTTACTGAACTAGGCATGCTGAGCTCCCAGATGGCCGAGTACTTCTTCTATGCTGTAATTATGCTGGTTTGTATTATCCTGTATGCCCTGTTGGCGTTTGATTACACGTTGCAGGAACGCAAGGGAGAGCTGTACGTAAGGCTAGACAGTGACCCCGAGAATCGGGATGTCCCTAGCACTAGCCGTAGCGGCAGCATCTAGGAGAAGTTCTATTCTCTAGTATTTTCATTGCACTTGTAATTTATTTGTACACAGGCAAACATACATTTAACTGAAAATAAATAAAAGTTTAGCAACTAAATCAGTCTATTATCTTGAACATGTACTGCAGCTCAAGTTTCGTGTCATCCGGCAGATCTGTACAGTGGACGGCATTCTGGACCTTAGACTTGCCGAACTTGGCGCGCAGCGTATGCGGCCGAAGTAGTTTGGCGATCTCAGGATCCATCGGTCCACAAAAATCGCGAAATTCCTGATACGATTTCTTCTCAGGATCTGCGCAAGCGATTTCCATACACATGCACACTCCACTGGCCAGCTGTGCTACCATGGGAATATACTCGGGTAGGACGCCGCGGTATACTTCGTAAAACTCCTCACAGTTAATGCGCGCCATCAGGATCATACGCATGGCAGTCAACCGAAAACCGTTGGACAATATTTCGGCAATAATGTCGCCTAGGAGACCATCCTTGATGCTGTGGGGCTTAATGATAGCAAGTGTGGTGTTTTTAAACAAACAATTCTTAATGATGCTGTGCCTCGCTTGGAAAAAGAATTTGAGGTCTATGTCCACATCTTCGTCGTTGTCGGAGTAGTAAAAGCCGTAGCGGATCTCCTCGCTTTCAAATAGCTCCTCCATGCTGGGCGATAATTTAACATTAGGCTCCTCCTGCTCGGTGCTCTTGTATCGAACGCAGGCCTTTATGGTTTCGACAACATTGTCCCCGATCAGCTCCAGACTAATAGCCGGACCCGCGAGCAGCTCGTTCATTAGCACTCTGGGATTAAGAGGTTAAGATATCTTCTATGGTGCACCATCTTTACTTACGAGGAGGAGACATCTCTTTTATCCTTGCCAGACAGAAATTGCGTGACCATCTTGGGGGAGAATTGCACCATCATTCCCTGGTTTATATTGATCTTATTGTCGATCAGTGTTTTAAGGAACTTGCCCAGGTGTTTTGTCCACATATTATTTTTTAGCAAAACGAAGCCCCTGGATCATACAGCGGTTTTGGATTAGAGAGGGAGTATGGAGGAAATTTTCTTACTTCTTGCGGTATTTTGCCAGATTGGTGCGCGTAGTATCGTCTGCGTAATCCACAATGTCAAACTGCCGGCCAAACACATTTATCTTGGAGCCTACGAAAAAGTCTCGTTGGGTCAGCTCAGGAATCTTCGTGCGACGCAAGAAAGTACGTTTGTTGCGCTGGTCGAACTGGGGGAAATGTGTAGGATTAGCCGAATCAACATTAAGGATTTAGAACCAAGTCCTCACCACTTCGACCGCCTTGTCAGAGACATAATAAGTGATCAAAAAGGGTCGGATGATCCCTGCCTCCGCGTGGTACCACTCGGCCGCGAAGGCCAGACGCCGCTCGCTAGCAGGAATAGCAGCGGGTTTCATAGCTTGGATTAATGTTTATTTGTTATTTTTGTTTGATTACTTGACAGTAGATCCGTTATTTTGAGTAAAAAGTGTTTGTTTGCTTTTCATTTTCAAGTGTGCTTCCTCTTTCCCGCGTTGTCACAGCAACAGAGTTGCCAACACATCGAAAAATACTTAAAAAGGCGCGTAGTTTTGAATATAAATACTTAATAGTTAGCAAATTAATAACTGCCTGTTAAAATAAACTAATTAATTAATATTTACTTTTTAATGCATCTATATTCAAATATATATATAACTTTAACTGGTAGTTTCTAATTGTATTTACACGGATTTCGGAACCATCCATCGCTAATTAATAAAGCAGATTAAGTTTTCAATTTTGTTTTATTGTAATTTCCTTTATTTACAGGAAACAAAAATAATAAACTGCAAACTGATTTTGCAATATATTGGTTGTAGCTTTCCTCTGGTTGTTAAATTCTAGCGTAAAACTTATGGTTTCCCTTGTCGGCGCCAAATCATCTTGTTCCTGGTGTTGCTTTCTTGTTAACATCTCTCTGAATACGCTAATATTCAGCTAAATTAAATGTGGTTTTCTTTGATTGGAATAGTGTATTATGAACGCATGCGTTTGTGGATGTTTTTATGAGTGATTGAGTGTTCTTTTCTTTTTTGTTTTCTGGTGTGTGTGAGGAGTGAGTGTTGTGATCGTGTGTTGACTTATGGTATAAGCGCCACGTCTAACGCTACGACTACGCCAAAATGCTAGACTCCATCTGAGCGGCCGTCTAGGCAGCTGGCTTTTTCTTGTCACCGACCTCCTCCTCTTCCTCATCGTTCTGAGATAGACTCGGGATATTGTCATCTGAGTCCTCCTCTTCGTCGTCGACGTTGAAGTCGTCGAACTTGTTGTTCCAGTCGCCACCAGGGCTGTTCAGGAAATCACCAAACATACCGTTGTCCTTTGGCTCACCTGGGGAGTGAGATAAGATTATGAAGATTGATTTCAAAATTTTCAGTGCTGAAAGCATCGCTTTGACTTACCTTCCTCATCGTCGGACTCATCGCGCCACTTAGCAAAGTTGGCCTTAAGGAAATGCAACTTGGTCTTGTCCGTGGTCAGGGAGGACCAGTATGGTCCGGCCGTTTTCTTGGGTATTGTGAATTCAAGGCAGCGGCCGATGTTCTTGCTGGTCACTTTCTCGGGATCTACCTCATGGAGAAAGTTCAGTGTGACCTCGTACTTCTTCGACGCATCCAGCACGTTCACGCCCTTGAAGGTGAAGCTGTTTTCTGTAACTCTATTTAGAATGCATTAGGATAAGGATCAGGTGGGAATGTTTACATATATGGTGGCACCTACTTGTGTTCAATGTCCTTGCACTCTACATCAATGATAACGTAGACCAAGTCATTGCGCTGGGCCCATGAAACTGGAGGCGGAATTAAACTGAAAAAGCGAATCAAATTTGGTAAACATAAATAAAGGTTTTAGGTTGGCGAGTGGGCAGGGTGTGCGGTGTGCGGGTATCCGGTGTCATGGCAACTCGAGTCGTATTTTCTGGAAGCGAGTGCATGAACTATGCAAATTCCTCGGCTGTCTATTTGCATAGACCATATGCCCAGGCGAAAGTCCATGCCGAAAATCCACGGTATTAGCGCCAGCCTAAACATAACCTCAAAGACTGGGCCTTCTGATTAGTTCCACAATCGCAATGCAGATGCGCACGGGACACGCCCACCACAAGCACAACGCCCTGTCCGCAAGATGTCCCTAAGGATTAGGTGCATCCACCATAAAATGGACAATTTTCTTAAATAGGCGATCGAAAATGGACGCCGCCTCTGCCGCAACAAAGCACGCGACGCACAAAGAAGCCACAAAAAGATTGACCGGATAGCAAATGGGTGCCGGTGGTCGCGGCTGGAAACTTACCCGGTTGCTGCCATTTTACTGCTGTTGCGAATTTCTAGTTTATTATATACGGAGCCGGATCACTTCTGACTGACAGCCTGTTTTCGTTACAAAAAAAGGCGACTTCAGTTGAACAAAATTGTCATGCACAAAATTGTCATGAGAAACAGAGTGACCGTTGGTACTTTCGAAATGTACCTAAATAATCCTAACCAATATGACGGGGTATGAAACGTGGGTAAATGTGAATGATATATGTAACCGTACATGTAGAGTAAAATTATGTTTTTATAAAAGTCACAATTCATCAAAACCCATATTTAATGATCTCCAAACTAAAAATTCAAACATCCCTTAAAGTGAATTTGTACATTTTAAATTTTTTATAAATGATGGCAAAAATTTATTTACTATCCTCTACTATGTTCTATTAAACTAGACTACCATAGGATGCAAGCTTTGTGCTCTGGTCGCATTCCACTGCCAACGGAGCAATTATAGGCCTGAAAGAAGTCTTCGTTGTTGGATAGGGTTCCCAGAATCCGGTACTTATCAACAGTGTGTTCATTTGTCAGATCCTTCCAGTAGTGCTCCTCCTTACTGTCGGAACAAAATATCTGAGCGAAACCGAGAAAGAATAGCTGCTCCGGGGTGATGTCAAGTCCTGGCATCTGCTCGCTAATCTGTTCCTCTCCAGAGTCCTGTAGCAGTTGTTCTTTGTGGCTGCGGTAGGCCGCCAGAGCCTGCCCCAAGCCACCATTGTCAGCGATGTTTTCGTCCATTGTCGTTTTACCGTTAATATGGCGATTAATCTCCGGTATCAGGTATTTACTGTACTGGTCCATATAGCATTCGGCTCTTTCCTCGAATCTTTGTCGGGACTTTTCCGACCACCAGGATCGAAGTTTTCCGTTGCCATCATATGATGCGCTGGTTGTGTCGAAGCCGTGAGTAAGTTCGTGGCCCACAATGAATCCCAAAGTTCCGAATTTCAGTGCACGCGGATAAGAGCGGTGGTACATGGGAGGTTCCAGGAGGCCGGCCATCACGTTGATAGAATTGTCCAAAACGTAATAAGCTGCCATCGCTTTCATACCTTGTAGCATCATCTGAGGCTTGGTATCATTTCCCAGTTCCTCAAAGTGGCGACTACTAAAACGTTCAAGGTCGATAGTAAGGCGCTTCAGATTAATGTTGGTTGAGGCGAAGCTATCATTGTCGATTTTAAGGCTGTTGATCTCCCGGATTATGCGATCTAAACGAGCATTATCTTTAAGGGAACCAATGTGCGGTTCAATCGCGGACTCCTTGAGCAGCGCCTCATCTCTAGTCGCCGTGTCCAGCCACTCGGCGTTTTCAAGCGACTTTCGAATGCTTTTCCGAAGTTCTTGTACAATTTCAAAGACCTCCAACCTTTTTTCCTCGGTAAAATGATACTGAAAAATGAGAAATGAAAACGATTAATTTTGGGGTCCCTTTCACGAAGTTCATATGACCAATACCAACCTCCATATAGAGTTTGTTAAAGAGGACCGTCATGGAAGTCAGCAGAGTTATTGAGCAATAGTCCTTTTGTTCTTTGGGTGCCTTAAGTTTGGGGTCAAGTTTATAGAGCATCTGCATTGCCAGATAGTTGGCCACAGCCTCAGGATGCCGGTTGCACACCTTGTCTAGTTCCACGTAATAAAAGTCGCAAAACATATTTTCATCGGCGTGGAGTCCGTTCCAGGATATATCATAGTAATTCGTCGATTGGTTGAATTGACTTTCAGCTGGATAATACGAATACATCTCGCACTCGCCAGGAACTTCAAGGGCATCCCGCCAGAACGCAAAAACCCCGTCGATAACTTCAGTAATTTTATCATCTGTTAAATTAAAGGACCTCAGGTATCCACGCATTCGCTCTTCGTTCAGACGGTAGGCACGGGAAGTATTACTGGCGATATTGGCCTCTTGGACGATGTGATCGAAACCCAGCTCGGGTAGTTTGGTGCGAGGCGAAAACGGATAAACTGGTAAGATCTCCTCTCGGATCAGTCCATTTGCTCCGTAATTGGTCAAATGTGAGCTCATGTTGACCCAGCTAAAGTTGGTGGCATCCCAGGAGGCTCCATCGACGGCGGGAAAGCCTCCAATCGACCGAATTAGACTTAGGTAAGCGGGATCAGCGGCGTTAAATGGATAGAGCTCTGCTTCTAGGCAGGCATTAAAGAATCGTTGGGCCACATTCAGTTCGCTGGATACATTGAGTGTCTCCGCCAGATCCGTCCTCCCCACCAGTTGCTCTACGACTTCGCTCAGCGTGTAGATTACGTCGCCAAAGTTGCTCCGACGATTAGATGAGTATCGATCCGATTTTGCGACCCGATAATTTCCGCAAGCATACTCGTAGAAATCTTCACATGGCGCGACACTTAAGTTCATGTATGATTTCATCTGGTTGGCATAGAGTCGGAGATAGTCAGCCGTAGAATTATTTGTTGGCTTATCCTTGCTTTCTACCAGGCTTCTGGCCTCGCAACCCATTAGGATTACCAAAATAAAGAACAGCCACAACATCGCGGAACTCAGCGTGGACAAGAAGGAAAATTTCCAATTCGCAATCTGTAGTTAGAAAATAGCACGGATGGCGATTACTGTAGCTCAACTGCGTGGATTGAATCGCGTTTGGGAAATGACAGCTTCCCATTGGAACTTATAATCAAATGATACTTTTTGCACATGCTGCACTTAACAAGAGAGCAGTGATTGAGAAACAAAAAATTCTTATCAACTTGTTTGGAATCGATGTACAGCCGCTGACGTATGACCAGAAGCCCACCCTACTTCCCGATTCGTATAAGCCCGGTTCCCTCAAGATCTGGTGTAGCTCTAAGACACCGCTGGGTAAGATTCTAAAACCCAAACTTAATGGACTTTTTTTTTAATCGGTTAGGAATAACTTCTTGCGGTCCTTATAGCCATGCTGCCATTCAAGCACAAGAAGTTACTCCTAACCGATTGGTGCACATGCGGAATACATCAAAACAACTTCCCGAAGAGAGTTTCCAGAAGGCTTTGTCAGTTGATATAGAAAATTGCTGCTTATCTGTAATACAATTTACAGATAATTTATATTGATGGCAAAATTTATTTTTCATCTTCAACGACGTTCTACTTAACTAGTCTACCAAAGCCTGCAAGTTTTGGCCTCAGTTCGCATTCCACTGCCAACGGAGCAATTATAGGCCTGAAAGAAGTCTTCGTTGTTGGATAGGGTTCCCAAAATCCGGTACTTATCAACAGTGTGTTCATCGGTCAAATCCTTCCAGTAGTGCTCCTCCTTATTGTCGGAACAAAATATCTGTGCGAAACCGAGAAAGAATAACTGCTCCGGGGTGATGTCAAGTCCTGGCATCTGCTCGCTAATCTGTTCCTCTCCAGAGTCCTGTAGCATTTGTTCTTTGTGGCTGCGGTAGGCCGCCAGAGCCTGCCCCAAGCCACCATTGTCAGCGATGTTTTCGTCCATTGTCGTTTTACCGTTAATATGGCGATTAATCTCTGGTATCAGGTATTTACTGTACTGGTCCATATAGCATTCGGCTCGTTCCTCGAATCTCTGTCGGGACTTTTCCGACCACCAGGAGCGACGTTTTCCGTTGCCATCATAAAATGCGCTGGTTGTGTCGAAGCCGTGAGTAAGTTCGTGGCCCACAGTGAATCCCAAAGTTCCGAATTTCAGTGCGAGCGGCCAGGAGCGGTGGAACATGGGAGGTTCCAGGATGCCGGCCATCACGTTGATGGAATTGTCTAAAATGTAGTAAGCTGCCATCACTTTCATACCTTGTAGCATCATCTGAGGCTTGGTATCATTTCCCAGTTCCTCAAAGTGGCGACTGCTGAAGCGTTCAAGGTCGATAGTAAGGCGCTTCAGATTAATGTTGGTTGAGGCGAAGCTATCATTGTCGATTTTAAGGCTGTTGATCTCCCGGATTATGCTATCTAAACGAGCATTATCTTTAAAGGAACCAATGTGCGGTTCAATCGCGGACTCCTTGAGCAGCGCCTCATCTCTAGTCGCCGTGTCCAGCCACTCGGCGTTTTCAAGCGACTTTCGAATGCTTTTCCGAAGTTCTTGTACAATTTCAAAGACCTCCAACCTTTTTTCCTCGGTAAAATGATACTGAAAAATGAGAAATGAAAACGATTAATTTTGGGGTCCCTTTCACGAAGTTCATATGACCAATACCAACCTCCATATAGAGTTTGTTGAAGAGGACCGACATGGAAGTCAGCAGAGTTATTGAGCAATAGTCCTTTTGTTCTTTGGGTGCCTTAAGTTTGGGGTCAAGTTTATAGAGCATCTGCATTGCCAGATAGTTGGCCACAGCCTCAGGATGCCGGTTGCACACCTTGTCTAGTTCCACGTAATAAAAGTCACAAAACAAATTTTCATCGGCGTGGAGTCCGTTCCAGGATATATCATAGTAATTCGTCGATTGATTGAATTCACTTTCAGCTGGATAATACGAATAAATATCGCACTCGCCAGGCACTTTAAGGGCATCCCGCCAGAACGCAAAAACCCCGTCGATAACTTCAGTAATTTTATCATCTGTTAAATTAAAGGACCTCAGGTATCCACGCATTCGCTCTTCGTTCAGACGGTAGGCACGGGAAGAATTACTGGCGATATTGGCCTCTTGGACGATGTGATCGAATCCAAGCTCGGGTAGTTTAATGTTAGGCGGAAACGGATAAACTGGTAAGATCTCCTCTCGGATCAGCCCATTTGCTCCGTAGTTGGTCAAATGTGAGCTCATGTTGACCCAGCTAAAGTTGGACGCATTCCAGGCGGCTCCATCGACGGCGGGAAAACCTCCAATTGACCGAATAAGACTTAGGTGAGCGGGATCAGCGGCGTTAAATGGATAGAGCTCTGCTTCTAGGCAGGCATTGTAGAATTGTTGGGCCACCTTCAGTTCGCTGGACACATTGAGTGCCTCCGCCAGATCCGTCCTGCCCACCAATTCCTCTACAACTTCGCTCAGGATATAAATTACATCGCCATAGTTAGACCGGCCTTTTGATGAGTATCTATCCGGTTTTGCGACCCGATAATTTCCGCACGCATACTCGTAGAAATCTTCACAGGGCGCGACACTTAAGTTCATGTATGATTTCATCTGGTTGGCATAGAGTCGGAGATAGTCAGCCGTAGAATTATTTGATGGCTTATCTTTGCTTCCGGAATTATCTGGCCCATCTACCAGGCTTCTGGCCTCGCAACCCATTAGGATTACAAAAATAAAGAACACCCAGAACATCGCGGAACGCAGCGTGGGCAAGTTAAAAAACATATTGGAGGAAAATTTCCACGCTGTGAAATATGTAGTTAGAAAATAGCACGGAAGGCGATTATTATAGTTCAACTGCCTGGATTGAATCGCGTTTGGGAACTAAACTTATAATCAAAAAATACTTTTTGCACAAGCTTCACTTAAAAAGAGAGCAGTGATTAAGAAACAAAAATGCTTATCAATTTGTTTGAACATTTGTTAGAACATGGAATAGACACAATACCGCAGGTTATTGATATGGCATTGAGTAAGGTTTTGTGATTATAATCTTCATAAATCTAAGCAAGTAAACAGACATGTTGAGAACTGTAAAAATATAATTTTCCATTATTTATAAAACAAACGTAGAACATAAATTTTGAGTTACTGTATAATATACTTTTTAATTATAGTTTTAAATTTAAATATAGCCTTATATTTATTTACAAACTTAAACAAAACTGAAAGGTATCAAGTTTTAGCAGCTGTAACTCTTACAGGTGACTAGTTAGTTCACAATAATAACTCCGATCGACGGTCCTAGTCAGTTGCCCTGGTAACCAGGAACGTATTCTGACTTTGTTTGTTCAATCAAATTTTTAGCTTATTCAAAGTTACAGAGAAGAAAAGTTGTGGAACGCAGAGAAAAATTACAAGAAACGCAGTAAATCTATAATGATTTTTGATTAGATACTGACCCGTGTGCTTCGGATTTTTTGGTGAATTTGATTTTTGCATAGAATTTTGGCAAGATGTTCGTGCAAAAGAAAAAGTTGGTTGAGCATGTCCTGGCAATGCGAGCCGAAGGGGGCAGTAGTGATGATGATGAGGAGGAGGAGGACCAGGGCGACATTTTGCAGGTGCAAATCACAGATTAGTGATTAATTACTAGCCAAGTTTAATGCTAAATAACCATTGTCGAATGTTGCATTAGAAAACCAAAGTTAATCCGTAATGTGTAATGCCCTAGATACCAAAAAAGCCCTTTGACTGATTACGTAATCGCAATACTTCCAAGTTGCAACTTACTAACTGCGCGTGTAAATTGCTCTTAGTTGAGACTCCCCCATGTAATGTGTACTTGTTTTGATTTCTTTTTAGCTGAGTAACCCCTAGTCCACCCAAAAGAACTTCACTACCGTTGCTGCAAACTAAATCCTAGTAAATTTTTATTACGTCATCACCTTTCAACCTCTACTGTACAGCATTTGAAGAGCACCACAATTTGATTTTTGATTTTTGATTTTTGTTATTCCTTGCCATGCTATATAAGTGCAATTATGGTAGATTTTTGAAACGTAGTTCGTTGGCCTACAACTATCAACTAGTTGGAATGCATTTTTAAACCTATCTATACCATTTTTGTGAAACTAACGAATTTTTGGTCTCTTTCATTTTTGAATTTTGTTAAACGAACATTTTGTATAACAACAAATTGATTTACAACATGAAATCAATAATTGATTTTTGTACAAACCAAAATATAACCCCTCCCGCACTGCAAAATTTTGATCCTTAAACTATTTTCTGGAAATCAAACGGTCCAACGCATGTTGGCCCTGAAATTCCGGCGAATACAACGTAAACTTTCGATATGGACCCGGACGAAGCACAGCGCCGGCGGGAAGAATGCGAACGCAAGGCGCGTCGTGGGGAGATGGATCCCCGGCTGGAGTTCACCTTCCAGCTACTGATCGATGCCACCCAGCTGCCGAGGCATCAGCTCATGGACTACATATTCGAAGGGGACATGGTAGGCGTATCACTAGCATTTTCACTAGGTATCTTAAAGCTCTTAGTTCTTGTATTTAGCTCGATGAGATCAATCAGCTGTTCTTGCCGAATATGAAGAACAAGCTGTTGTGGTTTTATCAGGAGACGGATGAACCCGAACCCACGCCAGTTCCCGATCCGAATAAGCCGGGACCCTCCAGATCCGGCGTAGCTTCCAGTAGCTCTAAGACCCCGCAGGGTAAGATTTTTAAACTCATTAATGAATCTTTTTCCCAACTTCCTTCCCTTTTTAGGTGGTGCCTCTCCTAGTGGCATGCCTCCACCCAAACACAAAAAACTGTTCTTAACCGATGGGTGGACTTGTGCCTTCACAGGAGTTTGTATTTACATATTTCGGGTGAATACATCAAAGCAGCTGCCCGAAGAGGGTTTCCAGAAGGATTTGTGAGTCAATATCAGTGTCGTAGAAGATTAGTTACTAAATATTATCATAATTTTCAGATACTGCGGAGTCATAGATGCAAAAAACATCGGTCTAGTCACTTCCATCGAGCGAATTGTGGAGTTTGTTTTTATGCAGGCTCTGGCCTTTCCCAGTCTGGAGGGCGACGAGGAGGACGTGAGCTGCGGACTCATTAAGGGGCAGCTCCTTCCTGGACTTCGATCCTTCTGCAGTGCCCTTCGTGTCTGCGAACAAGTGTGTGACCATCACAATGTCTTCGCCGATGGCTGTGACATGTTCGAGAAGATCGACGAGGTGGAGGAGGTCAAGGACATGTCCAAGAATCAGGACTTTTGTGGTCAGCTTGAGGAGCGCGTGAACAACTGGACAAAGGGCATCCTAAAGATTCTTGGCGAGAGCGAGCAGCTGCGTAAGGAGAACGACCATAGTGGACCGCAGGACGAGTTGGAGTACTGGAAGAAACGAGGTGCCCAGTTCTCACAGCTCCTGGCCCATTTGCAGGACAAGGAAGTGCAGTTCACGCTTCACTGTCTCTTCTTGGCCGGCTCTCGCATCATAAAACAATGGAAGGAAACGGATCGAAAGATCACCTTCTGTTACAACGAGGCACGCGACAACTCCAAGTTCATCCAGGCCATGGAGACGTGTTGCCACTCACTATACCTGGACGATCCCGTCAGCATGAAGGAGTCCATCCTGAGCCTGCTCCAAACAGTTCGCCTGATTTACAGCGTCTCACAGTTCTACAACACCTCGGAAAGGACATCTGCTCTGATGGTCAAGGTGAGTGCTTAGCTTGTTTGGTATTTAACCTTTAGTCTCTCATTAAAAGTCAAAATAAATTACTTAAATGTAATGAATCCTGTGAGTCTAACTGTCAGCTTCACTTTGAGTAACGTTTAAACTTCTTGGACTCTTGTTTTTTGCCCACTCACCCACTTTATTTATAAGTGCTCCTTATTGATATAAATTGTTTGAGCTTTTCGCGTCATACTTTGACCTTTGGCTGCTTTAAGTGAAAAGCTTCTTCTATTTATGTTCTGATATTTTGTTCACCTTGCAAAAAGTTAAACAACGTTTCGAGTTTGGTAAACTCTGCTTCTAAATTTAAATTATTAATATTTATTGTTGATTTCGCCTTGATGCCTCTCACTTCCTCAGATAACCAACCAAATGATTGAGACCTGCAAATCGTACATCACCTGTCGGTGCAAGGAGACCATTTGGTCACAGGATCGCAACGTAATCCGCACGAAGCTGAGCAACTGCATCAAACTAAATCACATCTACCACGAGACCTATTACACAGTTCGAGAACAGCCTTTTCTCCCAAACCAGACGCCCTTTGGCTTTTCCGAGAACTTTGTATTTGGTGAGATGAAAACTCTGATAATAAATCGAAATTAAACTCAATTTAAACTTCTTTTTAGGCAAGTTTGATACATTTTGCGAGCGGCTGGCCAAGATTATTAGCATGTTCAATCTGATTGATGACTATAACCACTTATTTGAACGCCGTTTGGAAGGTCTTCTGTTGGGAGAGGCCTTAGAGGATGCCTCCAACCACTTTGAGGAGGCCAAGAAGGATGTGACTTCTAGGAAGTACGACTACTTGGACCACAGGAACTCTGATTTCAACATCGATTTCGAGAGATTCATTCACAAAACGAACTCTCTTAAGGATACCATAGCTACTCTGATCGAAAAGGATTTTGACACAGTTTGGGAGACACCGCAGTGCATTCGTTTCCTGGTCCGTTTCGAGAAGGTCAGCGAGAAGATTCCGCTGACCAAGATGGACGAGAAGTATACCAGAATTCTGCGCTACGTAGAGAAGGAGGTGGATCGCATCCTGAAAACGTTCCGCAAGCAGCGCGATGATCCTCCGCTGGCCAGGAACTTTCCACCCATTGCTGGAAGGATTCACTGGTGTCGCGCCCTAAGTCTGCACATAACGGAGCTCATGGATGCGGTGATGGACCATGCGGTGCTAAGCAACTTGCCCATGGCCAAGGATCTGGATGTACGCTATCATAATGTGCTGGGTGTGCTGCAGGAGTACGAGGATGAGATTGTGTCCATTTGGCTGGATCAGGATGTCAGTGTGGCCGATGCCTGCCTCTTGCAGCCACTTTTAAGTCTCCAGGGGGATAAGTTATTCGTCAACCTGCACCCAACTATACCGCTGCTCATCCGGGAGGCTAAGATGCTGGCCAAGCTGGACATCGAGTTGCCCATTGTGGCCGCGACTCTGATGAGTCGTCAGCAGTACTTCATTACCATCCAGGACTCGCTGAATGTGGGTTACCACTAGGGTATGAAATAACATACATAGCTAATCCTCTCCTGCTTTACAGTGTCTGATAAAAATGTTCCTGTCCACCGTGAGAGCCGTGAAGCTGGAGGTTCGTCCATTGTTCCTGCCACAGTTGGTGCGTCTTACGGCGATGCTGAAACCAGGATTACACACCATTAATGTGGGTCAGCCCAAGGACGTCTTAAGTACCCTAATCTCATTAGATTTTTGACACTTTTCCAGTGGACAAACCAAAACTGGACAGAGTTCTATGAGCGCTGCAAGCAGGCTATAGAGAATTTTGAAGTTCTGGTGGCCCGTGTCCATGACATCTACTCGAATCGCATTCTCCATGTCCTGATGTGGATGCAGGATGTATCCTTGCAAATTTTACCAGCAGGTTAGATACTTTAAGTCTTCAAATTAATTCACATTTCTGGTAATTGCATGCCGGTTAAAACTTTTCACATTTGTTTTCTGGGCAGACGATGAAATCTGGACAGTTGACGAGTTTCTGGAGCGGAGCGAGGAGGCCTGCCGGTGAGTCTGACTGTGACATGTGCTCACAAAATTCATTAAGCTCTGCTTTCCCCAAATTGGCCCTT